ACACCAGAGAGATAGACAGACAGACAGACACGGACAGGTACACAAAATGACAAGACAGACGGACAGACGCACACATACACAAACCAGGCAGACAGACAGACAGACACACAGACAGACAGACACAGACAGACAGACAGACGGATACACAGACAGACAGGCAGACACAAGAGACCAGACAGATACACGGATACATAGACCAGACAGACAGACAGACAGACATAGACAGACACAGACAGACACAGACAGACACAGACAGACAGACACAGACAGACACAGACAGACAGACACAGACAGACACAGACAGACAGACACAGACAGACAGACAGACACAGACAGACAGACACAGACAGACACAGACAGACAGACACAGACAGACACAGACAGACAGACAGACACAGACAGACAGACAGACACAGACAGACAGACACAGACAGACACAGACAGACACAGACAGACACAGACAGACAGACAGACACAGACAGACAGACAGACACAGACAGACACAGACAGACACAGACAGACAGACACAGACAGACACAGACAGACAGACACAGACAGACAGACAGGCACAGACAGACAGACACAGACAGACAGACAGACAGAGACAGACACAGACAGACAGACACAGACAGACACAGACAGACAGACAGGCACAGATAGACATACACAGACAGACAGACAGACACAGACAGACAGACACAGACAGACAGACACAGACAGACACAGACAGACACACAGACAGACACAGACAGACACAGACAGACAGACACAGACAGACACAGACAGACACACAGACAGACACAGACAGACAGACACAGACAGACACAGACACAGACAGACACAGACAGACACAGACAGACACAGACAGACACAGACAGACAGACACAGACAGACACAGACAGACAGACAGGCACAGACAGACAGACACAGACAGACAGACAGAGACAGACACAGACAGACAGACACAGACAGACAGACACAGACAGACACAGACAGACAGACAGGCACAGACAGACAGACACAGACAGACAGACAGACACAGACAGACACAGACAGACAGACACAGACAGACAGACACAGACAGACAGACACAGACAGACACAGACAGACAGACACAGACAGACACAGACACAGACAGACAGACACAGACAGACACAGACAGACAGACAGACACAGACAGACAGACACAGACAGACAGACACAGACAGACAGACAGACACAGACAGACAGACAGACACAGACAGACAGACACAGACAGACACAGACAGACAGACAGACAGACACAGACAGACAGAACACAGAGACACGGACAGACAGTCAGACGTAGGTACAGACAAGACAGACACACAGACACGGACAGATACACAGATTAGCTAGACGGACAGAGTCAGAGACAGACAGACACAGAGACACATACATAGACAGACACACGGACAGACCAGATAGACAAACTGGATAGAGACACAGACAGAGACAGACTCACAGACAGACAGACAGACAGATACAGAGACTGGACAGACACACAGTCCAACGAGACAGACAGACATAGAGACAGACACAGACAGACATATGGACAGAGAAGACCGACAGACAGACATGTAAACAAACACACCGACAGACAGACAGACAGACACAGGGACACACACATAAGACAGACACACAGACACCGAGACCAGACAGGCAGTCAGACAGACAGAGAGCTAGACACACAGACAGACACACGGACACAGAAACAAAGGCACAGACAGACAGACACAAGAGACCGGACAGACACACAGATTCACAGATCAGACAGACCCCAGAGAGACAGACAGACAGACAGACAGACAGACATGTAAACAAACACACCGACAGACACACAGACACAGCAGACAGACACAGAGACAGACGGACAGACAGGTAGACGCAGACAGACAGACACACAGACCACAGACACGCTGATAGACACACAGAGAGACAGACAGACAGACCAGATATACACACAGACAGCAGAGACAGACAGATGGACACAGAGACAGACACACAGACAAGACACAGACACAGAGACCAGACAGACAGACACCAATAGACAGACAGACAGACAGACGCAGACGGACACACAGACCACAGAGACACAGACAGACACACGGATACAGACACCGGGCAGACAGACAGACAGCAGGGACAGACACACAGACACAGAGAACAACAAGACAGACAGACACAGAAACCAGACGGACAGATAGACAGAGACCAGACAGACAGACAGACAGACAGACAGACACAGACGTAGACACTGAAAGGAGACAGACAGACAGACACACGGAGACACACAGATACATAAACTAAGCAGACAGACAGACAGACCGCAGAGACAGACAGACAGGTCGACAGAGACAGACAGACACAGACCGGGCAGACAGACAGACAGAGACACAGACAGACAGACACACTGATAGACAGACAGACAGACACAGACCGGGCAGACAGACAGACAGACAGACCACAGAGACACAGGTAAGACAGACGCAGAGACAGACAGACAGACAGATCGACGGAGACGGACAGACACAGACTAGGCAGACAGACAGACAGACTACACAGACACAGACAGACACACTGATACACAGACAGACAGACACAGACCGGGAAGACAGACAGACAGACGGACGCAGACAGACGCACAGACCACAGAGACAGAGACAGACACACAGACCGGACGGACACAGAGACACACGGACAGACACACACAGACAGAC